AGAATAAGATTTGGACACACCTTTTACTGTGATCCTCACTAATATTGACAAACTGTATGGATAACAAGTTCTTTATTTCGTCAGTGCGACGTTTCCGTACAAATTCTTTTAACTTTGTAAAACATTACTGCTAGACAATGGTAAAAGCATCTGTATTGGAAGTCAGATGAAAGATACATTGTAGTTCCCACATTCAGAAATGCCACTCAAAGAAGAGATCTCCACAGAATTCAATACACTTGGTCGAGTTTTAGGTTTAGAATTCTTGACACATCCACATTGTTACATGTCGTCAATGTTCATTTCCCCTTTCATGTCTTGGCTATTTGCTTCTCCCCACATTCTGTCCACGCCAAGTCCCTTCCATACATCATTACCCACTGAACTGTATCTCCATTCTCTTATATTTAATTCCATGGACCTATTTTCCAACACATTCTAAAATCATATTACATTATTCTTTAAAGACTGCAGCAACTCGTCTTATCACCTGCTGTCTTAAATAGAACTGTGGACACATGTAATGATGTCTCACGGACACATCTCTATAATTGTGGGCAGGAAACACATTTTAACGAAACATTCACTGAAAAGAGGCTCCTGGATCAATATGAAGATCAGGCTCAATGAAACTAGAACCTAGGTTTGATTGTGGGTCCATGTTAACTCTCTTTCCGGTGAGTATTTTAGTTGACTGTTGAATCCCAACATGTGACCTGGATAAGATCTATGCAAAGTTAGCGACAAGGAAAATCACTTTTGAAAGGAAGTTTTGAAGTCTTGTCTCTGGCCGAGTGGTTGATATGGTTGAGTTGTTGGGTGGCCGAGTTCCTGGCTGGTTGAGTTAGTGTGTGGGTGGTTGAGTGGTTGAGTAGTTGGATGGTTGAGTGAGTGGTTGGTTGAGTCAGTGTTTGGGTGGTTGAGTGGTTAACTAGTTGGATGGTTGACTGAGTGATTGTTGGGTTGAATGGTTGGTTGAGTGATTGACAGGTCTAAAATCAAGGTTGAACTGCTTTGAACCCATGAAAATACTTTTCAGGCATACCGAAAACAGCTGTATTGATCATGATTGAAACAACATGCAACAACTGTTCCTTCTGTATGGCAGTGGATGACAAATAGTAGAAGGCCAGTAAAATGATTTGTAAATTTCGTCATTTATTTGCTCAGTCAACATATACCTTCGACGGTGCCATACACATATCTTTTAAACTGCAGTCAATTTGTAAGGACCCATGGGGACTTGGATCAGCAACCCAGCAACATAATTTGTGAAGAGGCGATTAACGGACCAGGTGTTCTGGAGCGGCATGAAGCGGTGCTCACAATGTCAATCACTGGACTATCTGGTCCAGTCACATAGCATCTCTCACACATGGATAGTCGATGGATAGATGTTAAATGCAATGTTCACTTCACATAGTCAAGTAATATCTACACTGCACCTAAATGGCTGCAAAAGTTGTATGTTTTCCAGGGAGTTGAGATTGAAAAATACGATGTGCCATTGACATTGACGACCTAAGATCAAGGAAAAAACAAAGTGCCTTTGAGCAGCTGAGCTGGATATTGGCGCTATACAAAGATTAGTATGTTACTGAATCTTGAATCTTGAGGATACTCAGACCGAACCGGGTTTTACGGCTCCTAATAAACACAGCTCTCCACAATGTACTCCGATACCAAGATCACATGGATACACGTGACCCTGATAACCCTGTCATCCGTTAACCCTACAGCAAACGATTATAGGGAACACAATTTCAGCTCCCGATCCCTGGCAATAGATACAAAACACTGCTTGACTAAAATAATAAACATGGAAACAAGTTTTACTATGTAACTACTCGCAGACACACACTGTGAACAGAGCAGTGCCTTTGACAGGCTATTGAGAATAGTCGTATAACAGGAAGTACTTTATCTTCCTAACTGGAAACGCGTTGATGTAGTACATGTTATTGGAAACGCGTTGATCGAGAAGTAGTAAATCATATCACACGGAACACAAATCTTGTAAATTCATCTTCACACACACAGAAGTCTCAGTTACTGCTGGAGAAAAGCAGTACTAGTACTACCAACATGGAATAAAACATTTTCTCCTTGCATTTACATAGACTAATCCAAGTTATATTCACGAAATATGAATATCTATAACGATGCAAAATAATTCAAGGTACAAAGAACAGGCTTGGAATCTGACATCAATTCCAAGTTGAGGTAAAAGTGATTAGCATTGAAGCAAATGTCACATACGCGGAACTGTTCACAACGACAGAATATCAGTCCACCATGATGAACCTAATATACAATGGATTAATTTAGAAATTTAAGTAATTTAACAAATAGTGTAGTAGCCCTATGTACACATTATGCTTTGCATTCTAAGTTTAAGCTAAAGATAACATACACCGATAGCAGTAAGTGTGTCTTCATTGATTCAGCACTGCTTCACATACCTTTATGTAACCTCAAACATAAATGTCGTTTTCCGACTGGCTGAGCGCTCTCCTATTGTTTTCAATGTACTCCGCTTACAAACGAACAAGGGGCGGGAAGTTAGCCTAGTGGTTAAAGCGTACATATATTAATATACCACAATAAAAATTATTATAACTTGTATAAGGTACACGAAGTTCAAAGGGCATTCAAGTGATACTAACTGGCACTAAATATCAGTTTTCCCCAGTCTCAAAGTATATTACATATTCTCGGAAGTAGAATAGACTCCTCAGTCACACAGTACATTAGATATATTAAGTCACACAGAACATTGGATATACTCAGTCACACTGTACATTAGATATACTCAGTCACGCAGTAAATTAGTTATACTCAGTCACACTGTACATTAGATATATTAAGTCACACAGAACATTGGATATACTCAGTCACACTGTACATTAGATATACTCAGACACACAGTATATTACATATACTCAGTCACACTGTACCATAGATATACTCAGTCACACTGTACATTAGATATACTCAGTCACACTGTACATTAGATATACTCAGTCATACAGGATATTAGATATACTCAGCCACACAGTATATTAGATATACTCAGTCACACTGTACTTTAGACATACTCAGTCACATTGTACCTTAGATGTACTGAGTCATACTGTACAGTAGATATGCTCAGTCATACTGTACTTTAGATATACTCACTCACACTGTACATTAGATATCCTCAGTCACATTGTACCTAAGATACACTCAGTGACACTATACCTTAGATATACTCAGACACACAGTACATTAGATATAGTCAGTCACACTGTACCATAGATATACTCAGTCACAATGTACATTAGATATAGTCAGTCACACTGTACCATATATATACTCAGTCACACTGTACATTAGATATACTCAGTCACACTGTACCTTAGATATACTCAGTCATACTGTACATTAGATATACTCAGTCATACTGTACTTTAGATGTGCTCAGTCACACTGTACATTAGATATACTCAGTCACACTGTACTTTAGATATACTCTGTCACACTGCACCTTAGATATACTCAGTCATACTGTACATTAGATATACTCAGTCACACTGTACATTGGATATATTCAGTCATACAGTATATTAGATATACTCAATCATAGAGTATATTAGATATACTCAGTCACCCAGTACATTAGATATACTCAGACACAGTATATTAGATATACTCAGTAACACTGAACATTAGATAAACTCAGACACACAGTATACTAGATATACTCATACACCCAGTATATTTTATATACTCTGACACACTGTACATTAGATATACTCAGACACACTGTACTTGAGATATTCGCAAACACACAGTATACTAGATATACTCAGACACACAGTATATTAGATACACTCAGGCACACAGTATACTAGATAAACTGAGTAACACTGTTCATGAGCTATACTCAGACACATAGCATATTAGCTATACTTACTCACACAGTATATTAGATATACTCAGACACACAATATATTAGATATACTCAGTCACACTGTACTTTAGATATACTCAAACACAGAGTATATTAGATATACTGAGTCTCACAGTATATTAGATATACTCTGACACACAGTATATTAGCGATATTCAGTGATACTGGACCTTAGATATAATCAGAGGCACAGTATACTAGATATACTCAAACACAGAGTATATTAGATATACTCAGACACACTGTACATTAGATATACTCAGACACTCTGTACATTAGATATACTCAGACACAAAGTATATTAGATATACTCAGACACACAGTGTATTAGATATGCTCAGTCACACTGTACATTAGCCATACTCAGACACACAGTATATTAGATATAATTAGTCTAACAGTGTATTAGATATACTCAGACACACAGTATATTAGATATACTCAGTCACACTGTACATTAGATATACTCAGACACACAGTATATTAGATATACTTAGTCACACAGTATGTTAGATATGCTTAGTCACTCAGTATATTAGATATATTTAGTCACGCCATGCATGAGACATACTCAGACACACTATACAGTCAGATATACTAACTCACACAATACAGTAGTTATACCCAGTCACACTGTACATGAAATGCGATGATTTCTCAGCACCAGCCCATTGAATCTGCAGTCAGGAGGTCGTTGTAAATGTAGTTAATAGGAATATTTACAGATGCAATGATCACTTGAGAAAGAATCAAAGGTCTATACTGTGTTACTGAAACTGAATACTTTGATTTCACCTGAACGGTAATTACAAATATAAACACGGCCACGTTCATCTACACAGACTCCGAGCGGGAACGAGACACCATCATCTTTAGTGAGTATGTTTCTGACAAACTGTCCCGATTCAGTCAGATGAACAGCAGTATGTTGATAGTAGTCAATAACAAGGATGTCACCTGTGCTGGTACTTGTGATACCACCTAGAAGTCCTAGTGTTGTGTGTCCTGGTGTAGGGTTGGTGAACACAACGTCCCCCTTCAGCAGTTAGGCACAGGACACGCCCGGAACCGCCATCCGACACAAGGATGTTTCCTGTTCTTGTTGTACAAAGAACGTTAGGAGTATATATGATTTCCTTTCCATGTCCAGAATATCCACACATCTATAAGAACCTGCTGCTAGTGTTGATGGTGTCAGAGACGTTACACCCCTGTACTGCTTCCTGGTTGTGATGGTCGACAGCAGCACCAGGTCAGGGTTCACTTGAACTGCTACAATCTGTCTGCTACCTGGCAAGGTGACAGCCACCTGGTTATCTTTCAGCCTTGTTATACCCCACGGTCTACCTCCCAGGCTGAGCTTGCTGTGACGTCGTTGTTTGTTCCTGGTGTAGAAGGACTTCACACTGTTGTTCTTGTAGTCTGTTACAACCACTGTGTATGTACCATTCACAGGCAACACTGTTAAGTCAGCAGGATTTACATTTTTCTCGTCTCCATCTACCTTAACGTTAATGGTGTTCTGTAACAAAGGAGCAGCCTTCAGGTCCACCACGTTACGAGGGTTTTGTGACACAGGAGCAGCCTTCAGGTCCAGCACGTTACGAGGGTTTTGTGACACAGGAGCAGCCTTCAGGTCCACCACGTTACCAGGGTTTTGTGACACAGGAGCAGCCTTCAGGTCCACCACGTTACCAGGGTTTTGTGACACAGGAGCAGCCTTCAGGTCAACCACGTTACCAGGGTCTTGTGACACAGGAGCAGCCTTCAGGTCCAGCACGTTACGAGGGTTTTGTGACACAGGAGCAGCCTTCAGGTCCAGCACGTTACCAGGGTCTTGTGACACAGGAGCAGCCTTCAGGTCCAATACGTTACCAGTGTCTTGTGACACAGAAGCAGCCTTTAGATCCAGTACGTTACCAGGGTCTTGTAACACTGGAGCAGCCTTCAGGTCCAGCACGTTACGAGTGTCTTGTGACACAGGAACAGCCTTCAGGTCCAGTACGTTACCAGTGTCTTGTAACACTGGAGCAGCCTTCAGGTCCAGTACGTTACCAGTGTCTTGTGACACAGGAACAGCCTTCAGGTCCACCACGTTACCAGAGTCTTGTAACACAGGAGCAGCCTTCAGATCCAGTACGTTACCAGTGTCTTGTGACACAGGAACAGCCTTCAGGTCCAGCACGTTACCAGTGTCTTGTGACACAGGAACAGCCTTCAGGTCCAGCACGTTACCAGTGTCTTGTAACACAGGAGCAGCCTTCAGGTCCAGTACGTTACCAGTGTCTTGTGACACTGGAGCAGCCTTCAGGTCCAGCACGTTACTGGTGTCCTGTAACACAGGAGCAGCCTTCAGGTTCAGCACGTTACTGTTGTCTTGAGATATAGGTGTTGTCTTCAAGTTCACCATACCGTCATACTGGACATCTATCTCACCCAGCTGTAGATCGTCCAGAGCTCTACTCAGCATGTCTCCGTTCTGTATTAACATGATCCTGGCTATCCTCCCCCTCTTCTTCACGTCCACGTCTCCAACAACCTCCACATCACCGGCCTCACATCCCTGATACATCTCATACACGTCCATGTCACACTCAGATCGTAAAATCTGGTCTATCAGCTCAGTCTGTTGTCGGTACATATGCACTGATATTTCACTCGACTTTATGTCGGCTGTCAGTTGTTCTATGTGGTTTTCGGAAACTTCTTTCAGTTTATGAAGGAGTTTATTTTCCATGAGAGTTATCTTCTTTCTCGCGTTGTTACCAAAAGACGTGATGTCATGTTCCATTTTGGCATATCGAGCTGTTTCAGAAACCACGTTCACTTTAACAGCATCAACTTTTGCTTCCATTTGGATTTGCTTCTTCGAAATAGTTTCCTTCATATTCAACAGCTGGGACTTTAATGCAGGTAATTCCGACTCCAGTGTGACGACTGATTCACATTTCCTGTGATAGATAACACAACAGGTGTGACAGGTGACTTTCTTGCAATCTTTGCACAGGAATTTGATGTTTTCATCCTTGTGTTCTTTGCACTTGATGTTTCGTTTCCTGGGGATAATGGCCTCACTAGTCAAGTCAGTTGTGTCGTGATGACGAGTGGATGAGATGCGACTGTGTGCCCTAGCACATACGTCACACATAGCGTCATCGCATTCCGAGCACCACACAGTCGCTGGAGTTGTCTCCCCTTCACGATTACAGCATGTGCATTTCTTCGTATCTGGACAAAACAAAGTTGAATTAAAAGCAGCCAGCATTGTATCATCGAGTGTTTGTTCTCATGTCTGTCTATTTAAGGAAGGTGGATTAGCCTAGTAGTCAAAGCGTTCGATCGTAACGTCGAAAATCCGGGTTCCCAGATGGGCACAATGTGTGAAGCCCATTTCCGGTTTCCCCCACTGTGATATTGCTGTAATATTGCTAAAGGCGACGTTAAAATAAACTTAGTCATTCTGTCTATATATGTAATGATACATTTTTTGTGGTTTGTGAATTGTTGTTACTAGTTAATATTAGTGTAAGCTACTTCACGACAGGATAAAAATTACAAAGATATCTGCAAGACTTACTTCAAGAGAATTCGGAAATTTTAGTGATTGACATTTTGACGATAAATACCCTACATTTTTACCTTCAACCAAAAGATTTGGAAAACAACTATGCAGTACCACTACATTCGTGAGTATTGTGGAAGTACAAATTGAAATACTTATCAGTAAATAATGAATGTATTTTCAATTACATGTAGATTTAGAACAGTCATTTTCACATTGAGTAAGAGGCGAACATGTGTTGGGACGGCTACAAACTTTATACGACGACAACAGACGAATAATTAACAGATTGTAGGTCTAGCTGCACGTGTTTATCCTTCCTTTCTGTTGAGTGTGATGCAAGACACATCCAATAGACCATCATTGCTGTAACCAGTTCAGCATTCAGCCTTACCTTTACATCCGGGGCCAAAAGTGTCCAGCAGCCCCTGGATGACAAAGCTCGGTTTGACGTCATCCGCCCACTCATCTATTGGTCTCTCAGGGGCACTCACTTTCGTCATCTTGCTGCAGAAAGGACACAGCAGAGACTTGACATTGATAGCTTCCGGTTTGGTTTTGGTGTAGTTGACGACACATTTCCGACAGAATGTGTGATAACAAACAAGGGTGCATGGATTGTCAAACACCTCTGTACATATGGTGCATGTGAGGAAATGTTCCTCCAGTTTCTGAGACGTCGCCATCTGCAAACAGAAGAAGCACGTGTAATACCGTATAATATCTTAACTATAGTAAGAGTTCATTTCAAATGTAAACATACCAGCGCTACCACTGTAGACACTGATGAACATTAGCCACATCGTGACTTGAAAGTTATTAATTCATAATAGACACGATTAAATTGGAAAACCTGCCAACGAAGAGCAGTAAACTAACTAGACTATCACAGATAGGGAATTAAAACTAGCATGTAACTGTAAAATTCGACAAATTTTTTATGGACAATGCAAAATATAAACGGGCTGGAGATCACCAACAACTGAAGGTAGATCACAACACCAGGGACTCATCTGCAATCAGTATTATGTGTGCCCACCCTGGGAGAGAAGAACAGCCTGGTGGTGTGTTGTCTTGTGCATATCCCACAGGTCACAAATCAGTCAACGTTGGTCACGGGGTCTTTGGATAGGTGATCGACTCTTTCAGGTTGTGGGATCTCGGTAATGTGATGAAGTGACGAAAATGAACCAGACTGATTCTGCCACTGTTTAACATTGGTGTCCATACAATCACACTATTTCCGCCAACTACCTGGACATCCAGTTTACGTTTGATGCGTTCATGGAGACTTCTACACACCCGACATCTTCCATCTACACCACGAAGGAACAATTATGACACGTGCACTTGGCAACACTGACGTTATGGATGATGAACTAGCCCAGACAGAATGATGTTCAACCAATCAACCCCTTGGCCAATATCCATACATACACAACATTTAATACAAAACCAAATTGAGAATCATTATCTTTTAATTGAGTTTAGAGTTTGATAGTGTGCTTCTTAATCCTTTTGACTTGTCTCTCGTGATTTTTAAGCGATTTTGTTATCACCACAGTCGCGTTTACAAGGTCAGTGTTCGTGTATTGTCAATCAAATATCAGATATCGATATCAGCACTTATTTGCATAAGGAAAGTAGACTGGTGTCAACTGTTTTGCACCAGCAACAACACGGGCCATAATTACTGTATAACAGGTGTACTAAATGACGAAATGACAGCCCTAATAGTTTTCCACCTTGAGTCAGTGTATCCTTACGTCCTCAGACCGAGGCACCTGATAATAGGCTGTACATATCCATATACCTGTACATAGTGAAAGGAGACCAAGCAACACAGAGGGAAGGACTCAAACACGAACTATAAGACCATTACCTCCGTATTACTTCACACCTTGTAGATTGATCACCGAGTAATGCCGTCGTTATATCTGGCCATTGTTAGAATTGTAGAGGAGAAATCTCGCAAATATCGATCGCAAGTCAACTCACCTCCACTTCTTCGTTCCACCCTGACGGTGAAGGGTGAGACTAGGCCCTATAACAAACGGGTACTGGTTAGCGACTACGTATAACCCCGTATTGGAACACGACATAAATACGACTTTAGAACATAACTTAACTGTAAACTTTAATACGCATAGATTTGCATTTTTCTTTGGTTAGTCTCACATAGAGGACTTCCATTTCCCCCAAAGTCGCTGTCAACAGGTGCATTTGAGTTTATTGTCACGTATATAATGGCCTGACCTCGATTGCATAACTCATTTCCATAACGAAAGTAGGCTGTAAGAGATTAAAGTAACATTTGACACTATACACCCATACTGTCTCAGAACTGTATTTTATGTAGATATGATAGACATAGTAATTAACTGATGCCAGAGTATCAGTAAGTCCACACACCAACTTGTGTGAGATCGGGGTAGTCGTGTCCCTGTACATAACGAAAGTAGACACGTCAACACAGCAGTGGGCTGGTCACACACAGGCAACATAACACCATGGCTGAATTACCACACGCAAGAAAAATAGCACCATGGCTGAATTAGTACACTATTACCACCGTATTCCTTCACACCTTGTCCATCAGTCACGGAGTAATGAATTCGCTATGGCCGGACATTGATAGATTTGTAGTGTAAATGAAATCTGGCAAATATTGACAGCACGCCCACTTACCTTAACTTCCTCGTTTCATCCATCCGTGATAGCTGCTGGTAAGCGACGGGTTGTCGCCGAGCCGCCAACTACCCTTCATAGAAGGCTTGTAGGCGACAGGGGTCAAGGGTGTCACGGGAATAACACGATAACGCACACAGCGTTTTGTTGTTGCTTTCATTCTGCGTGAGGTTTCATTTGAATACAGGAGTATATAACTTCATTTCAAACCTTTCTTTAAACTGAATACCTAAACATATCGCAATATCCGTAGTGCCGTGGAGGGGGAAGGGTAAGCGGCTGGTCTCGTCCGAGGTTGGGTTCGAAGCCCCACATAAATACAATGTGTGACGCCCATTTTTGGTGTCTACAGAGGTGATCTGTTTGTAGTACCTGACATCTGTGTCTGCGTTTTCATCATGCTGACGATTCAGTTGCTGGTGGTCTATAGCCCGTTTTTATATTGTAGTGTTGTCTATAGTTATATTTTGTTTATGATAACGTACTAGTTTTATGGTTTAGAGCTGTGGTACTCTAGTAGTTTTACTGTCCTTTCATGGCAGTTTTTAATGTTCTAAATTTATTGATTTTAATGTTGATATAAATTATATTGTTCTCGTCACGAAATGGCTGAAGTATTGCCAATGTGACGTTAAACTTTTCTCACTCACTCACTCTTGTTGACGATCTGGAATATGACAGAGCGAAACGACTTCAAACCTCGTTCGTGATCAAAGCATGTTTTAGTTGATACCTGCACTGATACAGGTCCAAGACTGGGTGAAACCCACACGCACGGGACTGGTGCTGAGATACCTCATGATTGGACACAGCAGAATTCTGGCATGCCCAAGGGATGCAACTCTGCCAATAGCGGTGCTTCACATGATTGGTCCACCCACGGCCAATCAAAACTATTAACAACGTGTGCAAGTGGAGAATGTCTTTGGGCAATTTGATTCTTTGTTGACAACAAATATGTTTTTTTTTGTTTGTTTTTTTTTTCTTTGTGTGTAATGGCAACTATGACAGTAATTTCACTGTCTGTCTTGAACCACAAAGTTGAACCAACAAACACGGGGGTTCAGTCGACTATGTACTCTGCAGAGTTGTGTCCCATTGGCACACCAGACGCTAGAGATTGTGGGTTCGAATCTCACTTTTCCCCAGTTGAGTTTCTATATGGGTCAGTGCCACACACGTGTTCCTGGGTTTCACAAAAACACAAATGTCTGAGATCTGCATTACCTCGGGCTTTCCTACAACTGCGTCATAACTGTAACTAGATATGACACCAAAACTCACTCACTCTCTGACCAAAATACATTGTACATGAACATGAAGAGAGGATTCAAAATTTCTTTCTTAGATCAGATTTATAGCATCACATTTTAATATTAATCGTTCTTTCTTTCCAATAGATGGTACGAGGGATAAATTCCTATTGAAAATCGAGTTATTTGAAATATTTTGTGTAATTTCTATGTCTGAGAAAAACACCTTTTCTTTGAGATATATCCTAGACAGAAATGTCTTTGTATTTTCACATGTTGATTTACTTTGGTCATAGCTATCCATCATGAAAACTATCTAAACCCCCCGTGTCACCAGACATGTTCTTGAATGTTGATTACATATAACACAATTATAAATATAAATCTAATCTTTGGGTATGTTTAATAGAGCTAGTAATATCAGGAATGGTGTCAAAAGCTTTCACTTTTATCTTATATTTGATTAACTATAGAGACCAAAAACCTTACATATTCAAAAGAAATCTATACTAAAAGTAGAAAGTATACCACGCACTGATATTCAAAATGTTGGTGGTGAAAACAATGCAAAATTCTCCCTTAATGTAACAGCTCACGCCGAGAAAACACAACTCGATGTGGGGCGTGAATCCGTTTATTGTCGAGCAGATTAGCAGAAGAAAAATACCCTGTAAACATTTCCTTATAAATATAAATCACAGTATGTTTGATATCACAGTAGTATCACAGATTAATTAGCATGTATATTATGAGAAAAGAAAAGGGGGATAAAAACTGAAAAACATGTAACGCATGATCACACTGAACAAAAAATAAATATATTAATAGCAAACTGTTTTCCCTTTGAATTATTTCACTTAGATAATGATACTGGGTTTGTAATAGGAATTCAATATAATAGGTATGTTCTCCATATGAGAATGAAAGGTTTATGTTTAACATTTCATAATTATTCAAAATTAGCTCACCCGTCTATAAGACAAAGCAACGCCTTTACCTCCCTGCCCGACGGCAACGTGATGATAAACCTTAGGAACACAACATGTCAAATGTACATATATTACACGCATCCATAACTGACACACGCCATGCATTCTCATTCTTAGCAGCCATCATCACAGCGCGTACATTCTACACACGAGATGACTTGCAAAGAATTCATATGTGAATAAAATGAGAATACAATATTTGGTGTTAATACTTTACTGCCTAAACCAGTTTAGCTAAGCATAACGTTTACATTTTTATATTGCTAATATTAATGACTGTTCAAAAGACGTTTTTAGCCTAGAACAGTAGTTTAACTTCATCACTAATACATTATAACCTGACAACTTTATAAACCATTTGTACAACCATATCTAAACTAACCTGGTGACAACTCCGGTTTAGCCTAAATATTCGGCACTCAATGACAACCACAAGGCACCATGAGGTATCATCTTATTGAAACAGGTGATCTAATCAGCCAAATCCTCAATATTATCTCAAAGATTCCCACTAACATGAAATGCACGTGATATGCATATTCATCAACCTGACCTACAAAGACAACAGGTAAAGAGAATACCATGAATGATACTGTTACCCACAAAACTGTATAACACGATAATAAGGAAATGTTTTCGTATAACTTTTTTATTGATTTTTAAATAAACAAACTACAATGTAAAAATACGTGAAAACGTCACTGCTGCATTAAGGATCCACCAATACCTGGGCTTCTCATAGATCATGCAGATTTTGTTATTTCAACGAAGTTGATTATGTTTTCTAAAGTATCAAACAGTAGTTAACTAAATTTGGGTGTTTTAAGTGATGATCGTAAGCTGCAGGGATGTAATAACCATTATCTCTGCTGACTGTCGGGTTGGGTCGTTTGATGTAGACTGTCTAGGTGAGTTTTCTTATCCTGCAGTTTGGCCGCCTGGCTTCCTGAATGGGGTTGGGTCTGTTCTGAAATGGCTGACTTGGAGTCTCTGGAGGGTTCAGGATTACTTTTGTAGATCAGATTTTGATAATTAACTATAATACTTAATTTGAATCGTTTTGAAATGTCCCATAGATGGTCAAGTTATTTGATATATTTTGTCTATTTTCTATGACTGAGCAAAATGTATTTCCATGATATATCCCAAACAGGAATGTTAATTTCCGCTGTATTGAGATCTACTTTGGTCAAAATTAGATCGTTAAAAATGTCTAAAGCACCCGAGTGTTAAATTTTGATTGCACACAACACATCATCATTGCTAGTACATCTAACATCTTTTTTCATCATGCTTATCAACAAAGAACGTCATTCTTCATCATTTCATCAATCACACCACTCGGTAAATCCATCTCATCATGGACAGACACTGACGTTACCATGTGAGTTTTTTTTTGAAAGAGGATGGATGACATTTGACGCATCTCACCAGTAAATTTACTAAAGTTGTACACATTATGTGTTCCAAGAGGATCCACAGTGGAGATAACACGCGCCTTGACTTAACCTGCAATATACACATAATTGTTTACACAAGTATTATTGATTAATCAATACATTACCAAGGCAACAAACTATTATACAAATTAGAATCGAAAAATGTCTCAGATCATCACTGTGGAGTAACCACGGATCTATAATTCTACCTCATACATCTGTTTGATACCAGTAATATCACAATAATTTCTCACTGACAGGTGTGAAAGAAAGAAGGTTCGTTTGTTGTGCTGGAAAATATACCTTAGATTCACTACAATGGATACAGCTTCCATAATATCTTTGGTTTACTTTGAATACTTTGATTTCATCTTGGTACCAAGTACAAACATACACACGGCCACGTCCATCTACACAAACTCCGAGCGGGCACGAGACTGCAAAGGCAAGACTTCCCCTATTTCAAATGTGTACTATGCCTTTTTATATCCGTTTCTGAGATGTCGCCATCTGCAAACATCTGCAAGAAGCATGTGGAATACAGGGAAATACCTAAACTATAGTAGTGTTCATTTCAAACTTTTAAACATATCAGCGCTTCCAGCCGACAAATTTCAC